CCCCCGAAGGGCAACAGATGGGCCTTGCGACCCCCTCGTCTGGCTGTGGAGCCGCACCGGATGCCCTCGGGGGCTCGGCCACGGAGCCGAGACCCAGTGATTCGGGGCAGATGCCAAAAATACCCTGCCCGAGTCAGCTTCATGCCACGGAGCTTGGACGGTCTTCTAGGTAGGCCTTTTTTTTTTCTCGTTGTGTTCTCCCCCGCAGCCGCCGCGTGGCTGAGGGTGGTCGAACCCTGGGCTGTTGAAGAATGGACAAGGGGAAGAGGCAAAAACCGGGACTTGAGATTTGAGAGCAGAGCGTAGAGCAGCAGCAGCACATCTCCTGGTCGCCTGTTGGAACGGAAGCCGGCCGGTGTAGGTACACTGCTTAGACTCGCTCGGAAGAAGCTTAACGAAACTTTATTCCACCAAAGCAGTGCTTTAATTTGCGCGCGCCTACTTTTCACCAGACCCATCATATAGCATTGAAATCATGGCATGGGATCAGAATCACAGGGGGTGACAAGGCCTGCGCTTGGCTAAGCCTCCTTGAAACGAGAGGTTGGCAGCCAGATTGACTCGCACGCCATAGCCCTATCAAAAAAAGCTTGTCATGAGCCAGCAAGATGCTTGCCAAGCCAAGAATATCAGAATGAAAGTCCACCCGCGTCCCCTGACTACTATGAATTTTCATGTGAGCGGCCGCCCAGGGGTTTCAGACCCCGTTGCGCATGCTACCGTCGCGTTGGCAATCTCATCTCCGCCCCCCCACAATCGAGGAATCCCGTCACAGTATCTATGCAGCCGCATACGCAGCAAGCCCATTGTTGCTCCTTGAGCCAGCCAGGGGCGCTGGTTCACCAAATTCCGAGCACACGCGGTTTTGCTTTGCCTTTCTGGATCTCGGAGGCCTTGGCTGCGCCGATGGGAAGCTGGATGCCGTAGAGGTTGTGATGGGCCGAAATCATTGGGCTTTATGGTCCTTCGGGGGCTCTACTTTGGCTTCAAGAGGAGACGGTAGTTCCGGCACAGGACTGAAGTGACACTCCAGCAGGTATAAAGTAGGAGGTATCAACAAAGATTGTGATGCCCAGGGTGATTGTGATGGTGATAAGCATGCACTATAGTAGCTATACAAGGCAGCTGGGTACATACGGGTCCGGATAGCGCCACAAGCCGCGCTACGACAAGACCAGCACGCCGTTGCCGGGCCGCGGACGATAGGGTGGTGCTGCGTCACCGGACGGCATCGGACGCACGCGCGGCCGGCAGCGCCGGCACGAAAGGATATCAGGCAAGGGGGCGCGCGCCAAGGAGGAGGCCTGGGCGCGAAGACGGGCCACCTCTAAACCCCCCCATTCTCGAGCATCGTGGGCAGAAGAACTGGAACTGACAATCAACAAGGCCATATCGATGGAAGGATATCACGGGCGCCCATCACTTGCAACACTCGGAGCGCCTCTCGGCCCCTCCCCAAGGCCGGCGGGCCTTTTCTCTCTCCGGGCCTTGTTGTCGGGCAAGCGGCCGTTTCTTTGCGGCAGGGTTCGCCACACAAAAAAAAAAAAAAAAAAAAAAAATGCGGCTAAGCGCCGTGGTGGCTTCAAGGTTTTGCGCGGCAAAGCGTTAGCTAAAGTGTTTCGTGTGTTGTCTTGCCTTGTCCTCCTGACGGCCAAGGGAGACAAGACCAACAGCCGAGATGAAGACGGATGGGACGAAACGTCCCAAGGGGGGCGGCGGCGGCGGCGGCGGCGGTCCGACGAGGTGAAAGGCAGACGAGGCGGAATCAAAGTTTGTGCGTGCTGCGTTTCTCCGAGCACCCACCCCCCCAGGACGGAGCCGCTTCCAAGGGGAAAGCCCACGTCATCGCCGATAAGCTCCGGAGCCGCACAGGATGCCTTGTCTACATACAACGACAGGTTCGGGATGCGGGAGATATCTGCGCTGACGGGGAACATTGGACAAAGAAGCCCGCCCAGGCGGCGGCCGAGTCTGCTGCGGGGGGCCACACGGCGCTTCTCGTCGGGGGTGTTGTGCCGAAAGCCCGGCGTCCTATGGGGGGACATGGGGCCGCCGCCGCCGCCGCCGCCAACCCGGAGAGAAGGGAGGCACGGGCAAGCGGCCCAACTCGAACGGTGTTGGGCGCTGACGCCTCGGACCGAAGTGCTACCGCCCGGGTGGGGACTTTATAATACGCGCCCTGCTCTCTCTCGCTCCCTCTCCCCCGCCGGCGATGCTGCCGTCGCTGTGGGGGCCGTCGTACTGTGTAGCTTGCGTGATGCTGGATGCATGCTCCGTGCGTCGGTTTCTGTTTTGCTTGTGTATTTTTTGTCACTTTCTCTCCGTTCAGCCTTCGTCAAAATTGCATTTCGACCGTCCCTCAACATCCAACATCAGATACGGTGTTGAAGGCCGTTGGTGACACGGGAAGTCTTCCATGGGCGCATGGAACGCACAGAGAAAGGGGATGAGAAGACAGCGCGAGCACAGATGGGTGTGTGTGTGTGTGTGTGTGTGTGTGGGCCATTAATTACACTCGCCCCAGCGCCTCACGTCCGAGCCCTCGTCGACAGCGACCACAGCATGGACGCATCCAACCGCCCGAGGCCTAGACGCGTCGATATCGCTGCAGGCGACATTGCGAGCAGCCGACGAGACTGCCCAATCGGGACGTTGATGTGGGATGGGACCTGCAATGTGCGTTGCCGACGCGTCCGGGACGATAGCGTGACTTGTGCGTGCTTCGCAACAAACAAAGTGGGCCGCAGGGACGGCGACAACAATGGAATCAAAGTCGGTACGACGTAGCACGACCCCCATGTCAGCTCCCTGTGCAGGACTGGGAAATTGGACCCAAAGGAAATCCGACCAACAGCTTCAGCCGACAGGCGGCAAAACTAGTCAACCAGCTCTCCTTCGCCTGCCAACAGGATCCCTCTCTACATGAACGTGATATTACATTTCGCCCGAGTCCGCATAAGGACGACAGCCTAGTCCAACAGACAGCCAAGGCGGCAATACTCGTACCAAGAGCGAGTAATTTTTAAATGTTTTCATTCATCTTTCTCAATGCCGCATCTAGCCGTGGTATGCTTATCTCGTTATGGTGCTAAAATAAGGAGCCAACATTGGGACAAACAGATACGATGGAGTGGGGTAAACAAGCTTGGAGAAAACGCCTGCACACCCGCCCCAGAAGCCAGGACCGGAATTGCTCCCACAGGACACAAGAGGGGTGGGTTGACGAAATGGACACCAGACATCTTGGCCCAATGTCTGCCGCGCACAGGCCCACACTTTGCGAGGCCATCTATGCCACAAACGAACGAAGGACAGAGAAACAACACGATTAAGAGAGGAGGTGCTGGCGTTTGGCAGACTGACGAGCCTTTCTGGTCTCATACCCTGATTGATAATGGCATCTATACATAAAAGGTAAGATATTGGGGGCATTTAACATGAAAATGTACAGAGGAAAAGGAGACTCGTCTGTCCCGTGGTGTGTGTGTGTTTTTTTTTCTTCTCCGCTGCGGCCCGGAGCCGGCGAGGAAACGTGGTCCGTCGTGTTCCGCTTCGACCTCAGCGTCTTTGGTTTCGTGGCCCCGGCTCGTTTTGCTCGGCTCGTCCATCCCCCAAAATCATGATTGCCGCCGCCCTGGATGTGCAACGCCGTCGCCCCGTCCACGAAAACACTGGCGTGGTGTGGATGTGGGTTTGGGAAATTGCCAACCCCAGATCGACGCCCGCCACAGTAGACTTCGCCGGTATTGAGAAATATGATTAAGAGAAATAAGGCCAGACGCCCAGGGACCGAGCCGGCCAAGATGGGCGTGTGGCTCGGGCTTTCATTGGTGTAGGGTCGAGGCATGTATGTGGTAAAGTTTAATGGCCCAAGGCAGGAGACCTGAAACAGGAAACACCCCCTCAGTGTGCCATGAAGAAGTGGAAAAGGAAAATCCCAAACAGAAGAAAGGAACACAAAATCTCGGGCGCTTGAGAGCAAGTCGGACACGAGTGAGACCGAGGTACTGAGACCTTGGCCCGGACACGGGAGTCTGGGATGCAATCAAAGCAGCGGTTTCCCGAGGGGTATCGAATATGCAAGAAAACGCAAAGGGGGCAAAGGCAGGCCCAAGTGTATGAGGCTTCTATTGAGACGTCGATATATTGCGAATATGGCGGGTGGCGTGTGACAGGCATCGATCGGGTGGCGAGCTCGGCGACCCTGCGGCGAGGGCGAACTTGGCCGTCTTCTTAGTTCCAGCCAAGCGAGTTCTCCTGGGCAACGGGCGCAGAGATGAAAGCCGTGCGGCCCGAGTTGCCAGCGCCGCTGCGACCGCTGCCATGGCTGTCACGACCGCCGGGGGCACCAGCAGCAACTCCACCGTAGCTGGACGTGAAGTCACGGCTGAGGAGAGCACCGCCCATCAGTGCGGGGCTTCCGCTAGCCTCGCGCATACCCGGGGCCGTCGACCTAGACCCGTTGCTCAGCGAGCTAGAGCGCTGGTGGGTCTGTCTCTTCTTCTTGTACCTGCGCGCGATGATGAACATGGCGGCACCGTAGGCAGCGGCCAGGGAAACGGCGCCGACAGTAATTCCTGCAAAGGTGGCCCTCTGCGAGGCCGACGGGTTGTTGCTGCTGTTCTCGTTGTTGAACACGTCGTTGGGAGTACCACCGGGGCTGCCAGGCGAGCCACCCGACGCCCCGTTGCCACCCGTACCATCGAGGCTACCAACCAGAATATCAATAGCCGGGTTGATCTCGAGGGTAAGGTTGTGCACCAGAGAGTCCGTGTTCTGGTAGAACTGCGAGCTGGGGATCTTGATATCCAGCCTGAGCCTGTTGACCTGGTCCTTGGGGTAGGTGGCAATGGCGATGGTGGTGACGAAGCCCAGCTCCCCGTTGGTGTTCAGGGGCTGCAGGCGACGCATCTGAATCTTGTCGGGCTGCCCAGTTCCAGGAAGGTAGCCCAGGGCCTTTGGCAGGTGCTTGAAGATCTGCGCAGCAGCCTGCGGGGTGCCAGCGACGAACTCGTAGTTGAGCGCGTAGTTGAACCCGACCCGGATCTCAACCGTGTCGTCGGGAAGCGGCTTGTTGTCCGAGTCGGGCGTGATAGCCTTGGGCAGATCCGAGGGGATGGGGGTAGCAGTCGCCGTTGATGGCACATTGGGGTCATCCGACTTGGTAGGCGAAGGCATACCAATAACCAGCGTGGTCGGGAGCCAGCCAGCACTGGTCGAAGTGGGCGCAGCGGTGGACGTAGTCGAGTCGTCCTTGGGCGCCGCCGAGGTGGTCGACGCAGGGACTGTGGCGTTGCCAGAAAGCACCGGGACGGTAGGACCAATAGTGGGCTCGCTGTCCGTGGTAGGCAGGACTACAGTAGACTCAGACGAGGTAACAGACGTCGAAGAGATGGTGCTGTTGCCCGTGGGCACAACAGCCGGGACAGTCGTGGGCGGAGTAGTGATAGGGTCGGGCGGGAGGGTGGTGGGAGGGGTCGTCGTCGTCGTTGACGGCTCCGTCACATTGCTAATCGGGGGTGGGGGGACGACGGTGGTCGTGGGAAGAGGCGGCGTGGTGGTCTCAATACCCGTGGTGGTCTCAACACCAGTGGTCGGAAGGGGAGCCGTGGTCGGGTCAACGACGGTGGTTGGCTCCGCAAAGGTGGTCGAGACGGACGTGGTCACGACCGATGACTCGCTCGTCACTGTCGGAAGGATGGTGGTGGGCTCGGCGCTCGTAGGCTCAACAGTGACGGGCTCGGTCGTGTTCGGGGTAAGAGCAGTCGTGCCCTCGGACAAAGCGCTGCTGAGAATCGACGAGATGCCGGCCAGAGGGTCCGCGGTTGTGGTCGGCGTCGCCGTGCTGGTCGGGGTAACCTCGCCGGTCGGCGCGAGGAGGATGCCGCTGGAGCTGGAGGAAACGGTCGGAGTCGGGGTAGCAGCGGCCTCAGACGAGACCACCACGGCAGTGGAGCTGGTGGTGGGAGCAATCACGGACTCGGGGAGACCACCGGTCGACGAGGCGACATTGGAGCGCTCAGACGACGTCGAGGAGGCGACATTGGAGCGCTCAGACGACGTCGAGGTTTCCGACGGGGGCGGAACCACGATGGTGCTCGAGACAACTATGGTGGTCCTATCGTCGCTGGAGTCCGAGGTGGTTCCCTTGGAGGGCTCGAGGCTCTCACCGATGCTGGACAGGAAGTCGCCCAGGTTCTGGCGCTTCGTCGTACTCGCAGGAATAACGACGGGGGTGGACTGCGAAGTCGTCGACTCCTGGCTGGTCGTGGTCGCATTGAGAAACTGACGCTTGACGTTGCGGGGAAAGTAGATCCTGGGCCTTTGCGGCTCCGCGCTGACGAGGGTGGCAGCGGCCACGAAGGCCGCGGCGAGGACGGAGGTGGTATGCATTTTTTATGTCTAGATGGACGGTTTGCGATTAGTCCGAGCCCGAGACCAGCGTGGTTATCCCCTGGTCACTCTCCTCGGCCGAGGCTGGCAGACGCTCCAGGGGCTTCCAGAGAGGTCAGACTCACTCTTGTCAGGGAACGAAGAAACGAGTGTACTTGACAAATATGTCGATCAACGAGTGTATACAGCTAGCTGTGGATCATGGACGATCGTGTTAGTAAGAGGTCATGCATGAAAAGGACCGTTCGAATCGATGCCGTCGAGGTACAAGGCCTGATCGCCTAGCAGGTGAGGTGGAGGAGGTCGTCAAAGTGGCCGCGTGCGAACAAAAATAACCCGCCCCCGTCACTTAGATGTAAGAGACAAGGACAAGTTCATTGGTCCCCCCTCTTAAAGCCACGCGGTTCTGGCTTCCTTTGTTCTTGCGCACACCATCGTCCTCCTCCTCCCTCTCCTGCAGGGGATCCTCATGCACCCCGTAGCAATCAATCGGCGGGGCGCAGTGGCGTCTCTGGCTTTGTCACTCACGGAATGACCTAGCACCGGGCTGCTGTTTATTTTTGGGATTCTTTTGTTCCCAAGCGCTGGCGTGTTGGTTTTGTTCAAAAGAGTGACTCGACGAGAAATCGTCGAAATGGCAGGCTTCCAGGAAGGGTGTCCTTCAGGAGGTGACTGGGCTCGTCCGTGTTCGCGTCAGCGGCCTCATATGGTGTCGGCTTGGCATGGGGGCTTTCCGGTGGGTTGCGAGACCTCCGGAGGACCTTCCAGGCTCGTGTCGAGAGATTCTGAAATCTCTCAGACTCGAGCTCGAAGGGCGTGACACGGGAGGATCGTCGTCGCCGAAAGACGGTTGTCGCGGGCAAGGCGTCGGCGTTGAGGATGGCGGATGGCGGAGAAGGGGAGCGGAAGGCCAGAGGAAAGGAGAGGCGGCGGCAGGCGGGAGAAAAGACAAAGCTGGCACAGCAGCCCGACCAGGGAGCACACACACCAAAAGCGGAGCAACGAGCGGCGAGGGAGGGATGGGATGATGGGGCGGAGAGAACAAGAGAGGGGCGGGCCACTTTGGGACGGAATGGAAAACGCTGACAGGCCTGGGGAGGGCAGGGATGAACACCAGGCCAGGTGGTGGCAGGGGGCCTGCGCTATCTGACCGCCATGCAGCGCCCGGGCGAGCCGTGTTAGTGCCGCGCTGCCGTAATCTCGTGTGTGCTGGGCAAACGGGACGCAGTGCACAGGGGCGGGGTGGGGAGGGGGGGTGAACAGTCGGCCGGCATGTCTGTGTCCAGGAACGGCGCGAGCTAGGGCCATCCTTGGACCGTCACTCTCGCCAAAGAATGGGTGTTCCTGGCGGCTTGCTTGCGCACCGTTCTTCGGAGAAACAGAGCCAGCGGGCAGCAAGCAAGCCAGTCGATCCACCAGGGGCAGGGGCAGAAGCGGTTGGACCGACAGGTCACCAGCAGCCGGACACGCGCGCGCGCACACACACATCGCACACACGCACACGCACGCAGCCAGGCGGGCCCACCCTGGCTGACCGTCCACCCTTCCTGCCACCCCCCTTCTTTCAAAGGCCTCGTAACTGGGTGAGGGTGCAGGGGTAATTTGCGGCGCGCTCGAAAGGGGCAAGCGTGGTCCAGGTCGGCAGAATGGTGGGTGCGCCGGCGGCATGGCTTGGTCCGCTATTAGAAAACAGGCTGATGGGCGATACCTGGCGTGCTGGCGTCTGCATGGGGCGGTACTTGTGCCGGCCGGCGTCTCTTGGGGGAGCCGGCAGGTACCTACTGTAGGCACCTGCCGTGGGTACCTGCTGTCTGGAGGTGCGAGCCGGCCACAAAGGCTGGCCGCCTGCCCACCCTCCGCTTCCTTGGTCATGGCGAGAACCCGCCGGCGTGCAGGCGGGCAGGGGTCGCCATTGGCTGCGTAGCCAATAACCGTGCCGCCGCCGATGATTTTGCAAATTTCCATTGCACCGCTGCCAGAGCACCGGCTGCCAAAAATTGATTCAGTCCGCAAATGGGCAAGATCAGTTTCGACCGCTCGAGCCCAGCGGCGGGCTTGTCCCACCGAATCAGCAAGGACAATTAGGAGCTGCCCCACCCTCACATCCGCCGTCCTTTGCGCGCGCCCACCCTCGGCTGAGAGAGCGAGTGCAAGCGATCGGTCGAGCAACGTTGGACCACGTTGCCCACCCTGTCCTTGACGCCGTCAGCCGATTCCAATTATTGCATTCCAGCTGGCCATTGTCGCGTTCCCGGTCTGGCTGCGGGCTCGGGATGTGGATGATGCGGACGAAAAGGTGACTGTGGTTGCGAGCGCTGGAGTGGGGGATGGGCTGGGCACACGGACCCGGTCGAGGCGTCGTGCGAACAACACAACAAGCGCGCTCGGCTTCCTTTCTCCCTCCGACGCCTGCGCGTAGAGCAGCGCCCCAGAATGGTTTCCTGTTTCCTGTCTCAACTTGGTTCCTTGAGCAGGCTTCCTGCTTCCTTGAGCAGCAAAACGGCACACAGCCAGAGAAAAAACGGAGCGACGGAGCTAGCTCGCAGCAGCGTCCGCCTTGGTCTGGCGCGGGAAATTGGAACTGGGCATTTTTTGCGGGCCCGCAATGCAACACACATGAAGGCATGCTCGCATGGTGGCAGAGTGGGGTGGTGTTTTGTCACTTTGTTTCCCTACCACGAGCGCTGTCCCCACCTGGCCCCGTTCGTTTTTCAGGCTCGTCGGTGACCGTTCCCCTCATCCAAGCCACCCCCTCGGGCCAGGGATCAAAGTGCTCCATTTTGATACTTACAACAAGGCCGGCAGTAAACAAGAGGCCTGGACAGTAAACAAGCCCAGTCAAGCTCAGTCCCTTTGCGCGCAGATCTTTTAGAATTGCCCAAAAGCTCAATTGAAATCACGCACACTCCGGCATCCATGCTGAGCCATGCCAAGCGATAAATGCCGCTTCGTCTTGAACTCACCCCTTTTGCCACCACCGTCTCCCGCCCGGCCAACCCATCATGACACCCCTTTTCACCGTCAGAGGGTCCGTCAGAGGGTCCGGCCTTGCTCAGACCCCTGATTCACATCAGTGGGCGCCTCCCTCGCCTGGCGCAAGACGGTTCTCGCTTGTCACGTGCTCTGGCTTCAGGCGGAGAACGCCTTGGTGTCAACCTCAAACACGTGTGCACCCCTTGTGTCTTGCCGTCTCTCGGGCTAGCGAACCACGATTCGCCTGCTCCCCAGGCCCTTTCATCCTTCAGCCTTACCAGACCTGCCTGGGTGAAGAATGCGTATAGAGACTGTGATCCGTCTCCAATGCCATCATCGTTGGCCAGGGCAAGGAATTGGGTTTTCTGGCCATGGCATGCTCGCTAATAAAACACTGACTCAACGGCCTTGTTTGACCATCTCGTCTCGTCATTTGAGGAGCCGTCGACAAAGCGCCTTCGCTTCGTTCAGCTCGCCCCGCGCCTGGAAAGGGGTCCCACCAGACTACCTTCCATCCTGCATCCGCGTGCCTTGCATTGAGACAGACGCTGCCCGCCCTTCTCTCACTCCCTGTTGATGGCGAGCGAGAGGGGCTGGCACGCTGGCTGGCGGATGGCTACCACCACCTTCCCTTGTGAGCAAGCGCATGGTTGCATCGTAGGTCGCGTTGCGATCGTGACAGATGGTGCGGGGGGCACAACCACAGATTCTGGACCCTCGCTGCTGCTGGTCGGCGGGGAATGGGCGGAAGAAGACCACCCGCCCACCGCCCACCGGCCGCCGCGTCTCCCCTCCATCGTGGGGCACAGATGGCGCTGGGCCAACTCGACGCCGCGAAGTGGCTAACGTCTCGGGAGTGAGAGAGAAGAAAAGAGCACTGCATACACGCACGAACTCACCAAGCTCTGTCTATAAACTATATGTTGCTACCGGGGGATACGAGGGACAAGCACATCGGCCCAGTCGTTCGAACCACTCTCGGGCGTGAACCACCACCACGACTCAGCACCGAAGCAGAAGACCCCTCAGTCAGCGCTGCAGCCAGCGCGGCCGGGCTTTCTCGTATCCGCTGTGGTGTACACTGCTTGGCTCTCTCGCTGTTTGGGGCCGCTCCCAATTGCCCCGGCACCCGGCCCCAAGCCCAATGTCTTCAGCTCCATCCAGGTCGTGGCCGTAGTGCGGGAAGACATGACACATGAAGAGAAAAAAAAGAAAAAAAAAGAGGCATGGGCTGCATCAATTGTCTTGGCTGTTTCCCTCGAGCTGAACAATTGATATCGGCAGTTCATCGGTGGGCTAGAATGCTACGAGGGTAGCAGCAGCCCAGTCGTCAGCCAGAGAGCTAGACAACCACAAGCCAGCCACAGACAGCCATCGGAATGTGATTTCTCGTTTCTCAAAAACATGGACGCAGCAAGCCCGAACAATGACGCCACGGGTGTGGCTATGGTGTCTCTCTCTGTAAAAGAGGTGGCTATTCATGGAAACCCGTTGATCCTTCCTGCCGCTTTTGGTTAGGTGGTCTCTCCCCCAAACGGCCCTTCTAGGGGCGATGGGAAAACGGGACTGCTGTCTTTTGCGATTTGTTTCAGGCTCGCCTTTGGAGAAACGAGCCTCTCCCATGTTTCAGGAGGCACCCCGACACCGACCACGGCTGCGGAGAAATTAGAAGCTGTCAGGCCGCCCATCTGGCGGGCCATTTTTTGGCCTTTGCATCCCCTGGATTAGATGCCGATCGATCCTTCGCCCCTGCGTCGTTCGTGGCACGCCCAGCCCCCAAATTGCAGAAATATCGTGTATCTTTGGTTGATACCGCGCCCAAGTGCCGACGACTTCTTCGCCGGAATGTGGCCTCAGGTATCTGTCGGACCTCATCGCTCTCTTTTCGGTTACATCAAGAGATGATCCCTTACTTGTTCATGCAGGTTTCTTTGCTTCTGAGATGTGGTTTCCCCGCCCGGATTCCATATTGCAAAATATCGGACATATCCATGATGGGATAATGGTCGTGTCGTCTTTTACCGGTCAAGCCGGAAAGGGGGCACAATGCAGTTCCCAGTATAGGTGCTGCCCCTAGTCTATACCTACCTCTAGGTACCTACCTATACGGCTAGGTACCTATTATTGGCTGGCGTTAATGCTTTGCCTGGTTCGCAATCATTCCACCACGGATGATGCGAAATCCAAGGCCGCTCGCATCGGCATTGTCGCGGGAGGAATAGCTGGTTGGTCAATGTTGGACGAGTGGATAACCGTCCAACAATAGGGCTCACAATCGTCATCGGCAGACCACGTTGGCCAAACCGCAGATCAGGCCACGGCCCCGACCAACCAAAGCCGGCCGCCTTGCCTTGGCACCTGGTGCCTCTGCACATCTGCCCTGCACGCCACAGCACCTCATGTGCGCGACGGCGTGCGCACGTAGTATGTAGGGCAGGAGGGCAGGTATAATGTGCGGGGCGGGCAGCACAGCCCCGTCGGGAGGGCCTAAACAGCGCGCTCGCCCCCGGTATCTTTGGGCTTTCCCAACCAGAACGGACGGTAGGTGGTGTATGCTCGGCTCGGGTGTACTGTGCCGGCGCAAATGGGAGTGACGGGAGGGGGGACTTTGTCCTGGTGTTCGGGTAGATGGTGGACTTGTGCGTGTGTGCGATCAGGCACCTGTCATAAAGGACCATCTCCGAGGTGAGGCTACACGGGTTGATGACTGTGGCACCGCGCGGTATCGGATCGCGGACGGGAGGCTCCAGTGCTCCAGCTGTTCCTTGCACGCGGCACCGAAGAAAGATGAGTTGACGGAGTGAATGTTGGGCACACAGATCTCTACTTAGTATACATATGGCACGCTAGATTTAAATATCACCATCGTCCTTGGATGGAGCCTCAAGACCTTTTTCTCTTCTCCTCGCATCACTAGGTGATTGCATCATTAGAAGCATCCTCACCAGCCTCCTCCTCTACCTGCCAATAGTGAGCTCCCACGTCACCCCCGATGCCTCTCCGGGACCCCTGCATACTGCTCTCGTCTTTCCGCCTTGTCATGAATCCCGCTCCCCAAAGCACATGAACTCTACCAGACGCCAGGAACCCCGCCCCCTCCATCCGCCGCTCCAACTAAAGCCTCACTTGCTTCACTTGCCCCACCAAAGCTCCCCCCCACCCCCACCACGGCCCACTGACGCAACACATCCTCTGAGCCGTTCGATCCTTCGGTTCCATATAAGGGGATCGACCTAGAGAACCAAACCTGACCTCCATAAAACACCATCTTCTAACTCTCTTTCCTGGTCAGAGCCAGCCCAATTGCAGACATCCTCGCCCTCTACAGCTCAACCAACCTCGATTCACAATCACCGCCATCATGGGTGTCACCAAGACCACGCGTGTGGAGGGTGACGGCGCCAAGCCCGTAAACGGTCAGACCGTCACCATCGAGTACACCGGCTACCTGAAGGACACCAGCAAGCCCGACAACAAGGGCGCCCAGTAAGGGCTCCCCCTCCGTCCCTGCCTGCCGTGACCGCCTGCAAGGCCTGTGCGTGCATGGGGCAAACCACTGACGAGGCCGCCGTTTCCGCTCCCCTCCAGGTTCGACTCGTCTGTTGGCAAGTCCGACTTTGTCGTCAAGATCGGTGTCGGCCAGGTCATCAAGGGTACGTCCATCTAGCTCCCTCTGGGCGCGCCCGTGTCTATCCAAGCTTCCCCTCCAAGAGACATGAGATTGCTAACCCAGATGGCCGCGAGACAGGCTGGGACGAGGGCGTCACCCAGATGAAGGTCGGCGAGAAGGCCACCCTCGACATCACCGCGTAAGCTCATAGCCTCCTCTTATCCATTCATCTCACTCACGCTTGGCGACTCTTATGGGAAAATCACAAATATACTAACAAATCCTGCCTCGCTACAGTGACTACGGCTACGGCGCCCGGTAAGATGACCCAACGGTCGCGCGCGCGCGCCCTCTGACGCCGTGATGCTCCAACTACACCTGGGGCTCGCGCCTGGTCTGGCACATTTGCTAACCCCCGACGCAAAATCACAGTGGCTTCCCTGGCGCTATCCCGCCCAACTCGGATCTGCTCTTGTGAGTCTCTCGCTTCGTGATTCCTCGACTGCGAATCTGTATACTGACATCAAGTACAGCGACGTCCACCTCAAGAAGGTGCAGTGATGGCCGTTTGGGTGGGCTGCAGCTTCCAAGTTTCACATCCAGTTTCATAGTCTGACGGTGACCTTTGCTGGGTCAACTAAAGGACTGATGCATGCTGAATGTTGTTGGGTGGATGGAAAACGAAATGCGAGAAATGAGGCATGGGAAACGTTGGTATACGTTGGAGCGGGCTAATATGCTCTGCGCTGTCGCGTAGAGGCTTCTGTAGCCCAGTTGGAGTGCGAGTGCGAGTGGCGGTCTCGAAGGGCTGTCTGTCCTATGGGGCAATCTTGCCAGAGGGTGATCAATCCAACAGCCTCCATCACTTTCTCTTTGACCGCGTGATGGCCTGCCGTGGCCTGGGCCCTGCTCCTGCCGAGAGCGATTCGTCTCCAATGGCCCTCTTCCAAAACAGTATGCCATGTTCCTCAAGACGGTCAACATCTGTCACATCCGTCAAGCTGTTTTCCCGCCCGATATCCCAGATCCCCACACCGGAAGGAAGGTCTCGTCGGCAACCCACCAGACGTGTTTCACACCCGCTGTCAGAGATCAGGTGACACAAATCTCGCTCGTTGCCAGCAGCCGACCCAATCGGGCGGGCCAGAACCATTTGCCCTGTGCTTCCCTCTCGCTTTCGAAGGGATGGTGTTTCGGATCGCTAGGCGTTCGAGCCCCAATCTCACGCTTGTGCGCACTCGTGGTGCGCTGGGGGGGTGTTTGGTTTGGGTTGGCAAATCTGGGTGCTGCTTTCCATATACATAGTCCGTCCCGTACGTCCGTCCATCTCGGGGACGGCATAGGTATAGTTGGGTCGGCGTCACCCAATGAGTCCCGTAGTTGCTTACGCGGGTCTCGTAGTCGATCCGTAGTACCCGATCGGGGCTTGCGTAGCCGGAGAGGTACGGTGCCTATCCTGCCCGAGTCCCTCACTATGTTGGGCATCCTCCTATCCACCCAGATACCTGACTTGCCAGATATCTCCCTGCGCGGCTTCACTTCACTGGCGTACCTGGCCCAAGGAACCATAGGCGAGTAGGGTAGAGGGTAGGTACACAGTGAGCGGCACCGACCAGATACTGGTGTTCAAGTGTTGCTTAGATTCGAACCGTTGCCCTACATTTTGTCACAAGACATTGTAAATACTCCTGCCTGGCTCCCCAAGCCTGGTTGTGACGACTGAGCCGCTTGGGGTTTCCTCCCATACATTCCGAATATATCGTAGAGTCTTTGTGTCCGAGACTGCTTGTCAAATCTTTCAAATACATAGTTTACCACGTGGGGTCTGCACTGCGTTTGCCCCCTTTATCCCATACATATATGCACACGTGTTTGCTGCCCCTCTGGACCTCGCCTATCTCCCTCTTTCGTCAGCCTGGTGGAGGAAAGCCGTCGGGAATACATTGTTGTATCCCATGTAGGTACCCGAGGAAAAGTCGCCGTTGATGTCCTTGACCTCGTGAATCTCGGCGCCCTTGGGAAACAGCAGTTGGCCCTTGGGCATGGCGCCGCCATTGTTCCAGGCCTCTGGCGGGTACCACGACCACCGCGCCTGCCGAACCTGACCCGTGCCCCCGTCGGGTGGGAACGGTGGCGGCTGCTGGCCATCAGCCGACGCGGCTGTTCCGCCGCTGATGGGCCACGTTGCAGGGGCCGAGGAGCGTACGTCGGCTGTGACCAGGCGGCTGACGGTGTGGCCAGACTCGTCCGTCCACTGCCAGCGCTGCAGGTGAGGCGCACCCTCGACTGGGTCGATCAGGACGTCTCGACCGCCGACCATGTCGCACTGTATCAGGCGGTACCACCGACCCGGCCGGACCTCGCGGAATCCAACCACCACCATCTTGTCGCCGGCTTTGGGACATCGCCGCCAGCCTTGCGGCCCGTTCTCCTCGCTGATCTTGCCGACCTGGACCAGTCCCTCGTAGCAGTGCTGGCAGATGTCGTAGTTGCCAGGCTTCGAGTCCGGCTCCAGCCCGCTGGCGCACTTGTAGCAGTGGTAACGGCTGTGTGCCGGCGGTATCTCGAGCTGGCAGACGTCGCATCGGGTCTTGAACATCATGGGCCGCGGCACGCCGAGACCGCTGGAACGGGGCGAGGTGGGAGAGAAGGGGTAGACCTGGAGCGGGGACGTAACTGCCGGGCTATGCGGAGGCGTCGGCATGGCGGCCTGGACGCCTGCGATCGACGGTCCCGGCTGGTGATGTTCAAAGAGGCGCAATGCCTCTGGTGGTTGGTAGCTGATGGGAAGCAAGGGGTGCGTACACGAGTTCCCCCGGTTGACGCAGTCGTTGCAGAAGCCCCAGTCGCCATCGTTGCAGGCGCCGCACTGCCAGTAGCAGTCTGCGGCCCAGGCCTGGCACCGGGAGCAGAAGGCACCCCTCTGAAGTCTCTCAGCCGGGTCCTCGAAGATGCCCCACGACGAATCTGATGGGAGGAACCGGCTCGCAGTAAGGGCATGTCGTTCAGGCAGCTGAGGGTTCTTCATCTTGGCTCTCTCCCACCGACGCCGCCCGTCGTTGCCGAAGCCGTACCACCCTCTGCACCCTCTACCCTCTCGGTAACACTTCAAGCAGAGATTATAGCTCCCCCGGTCGCACGTTGCACAATTATAATGCACTTCATATTCGATATGCTCTCTTTGGCATTTTGAGCAGGGCACGTTGGGCTCCGGGTACGATTCCCTAGTCATTGTCCTCTGCTGTTGATTTTGCTGTTGTTGATTCTGTTGTTGATGCTGCTGCGGCGGCTGATGTTGGGGCTGCTGCTGCTGCTGCTGCTGTGGCTGTTGTTGGAGTTGGTGCTGTTGTTGCTGTGGCGCCGGCGAGAGGGCCGGCGGGGAGTCGGTCGCAGTTGGGTTCGATGTGGGGGCAACTCCAATGTCCGCCGGCCTTCCAACTCTCCTGCCCCGGTTGGAGTTGTTCTCGAAAGACGGCGTGGTCATGGATGGCGGTGTGGCTTGAACTCTGTTGCTGAAGGACAGCCCGGTATTCTCATGCTCGGGCCGGGAAACCGCCCCTGCCGGCATGGACTGGGAGCTAGAGCTCCTCACGTCCGAGATACCCGGACGAGTAGCGGCGGCAGAAGAGCCATCGGCCGCGCTCGGCCTGGGCGGGCTTATGTCAGTCTGAGACCGAGCCACGGCTCGGGGAGGTTGTAGACTGCCAGGGGCGGGGACGCCCAGGGATCCAGGAACCGTGGAGCTCCGGCCTCCGCTCGCAGTGCGGCGCCGATGGCGTGGCTCGTCTCGCACGTCGAGGAAGGCCCCGCTGGAGGGGGGAGTTCTGGTGCGCCCGCTTTCAGGCTGGTCCGTGGCGCTGACGGAGCGGGCGTGCGAGTTGGAATGCGAATGTCGGCGTGGCCTGGCAGGTGGCTGTGACGAGTCCCGTCGTTGTGACGAGTCCCGTCGTTGTGACGAGTCCCGTCGTTGCGTCTGTGGTCTTGATCCAGCAGGGCTCGCGCTGGAGCCGCCGCTGCCACTGGACCTGGACTGCCGCGGGACACTGCTGGGGTCGCTCCGCTGGTGCGAGGGCTGCGGCCGAGATCTCTCCCGCTGACGCCTGCGGTAGGCCTCGGTGATCTTGCGGCTCAGCTCGTCGTTGTTTGTTAGATCGAGATTTTCCAGGTCCAGGCCGTCCAGCAGGCCCTCCTCCTGAATCTGCCGGGCAAACTCTTCGATCTCGCGGTCGATGTCGACGGAGCCCGGGGACGAGGAGCTAATCAGAGACCTAATGGAGGACTGGTGCTCAATATGGCGCCTCCTCGGCTGTTCCGAGGACTCGGCTGGACGTTGGCGCGACTCGCTCCTGTGCCGCCTCCGGGAGCCGCTGCTGCCGTGGCCCTCCGAGGAGGTCCGCGACTCTGGCTGCAGCATGATGCTCTGCTCGGCCTGCAGCCTGTTCTCGGCCTCGACAAGGATCCGCCTCCTGCGCTCGCGTTCTCTGGCATCCCGCGCCGGATCCCTGGGGCGGCTGGCGTTGCCGGCGCGCGCATCTGCGCTGGGCTCTCTACTCCGGGTCACTGGCGTGGCCCCAGACGGCCGCTGGCGTGACTCCCTCCGGGCAGCTCCCCGCGCCGCGGCGGCAGACGGCGACGGGGCATCGCTGTTGCCCCGCCTACGGGCCCTGCGCTGGCGGTGCTCAGCCTCGGCGACTGCCTCCTGTAGGCTCAGGGCGCGAACCTCGTCGATCAAGCGGCGCTCCTCCTCGTCGAGACGCAGCTGTTCGGGGGTCCTCTCGAGGATATTGAGGCGGGGAAGAACGACTTCGCCGGGCTTGTACTTGGCGTCCATGGTGGACTTTTCCGAGTCGGGCCGGGCCTTGTCTGGGTTCGCGGCCAGGAACATTTCGAGCAGGGTGGAGACGGTGGCATTGCGGCGAGTGTCGCGCACGGGGGCACGACAGGCGGGGCAGGTGAAGACGGGCGAGTCCGGGGCTGGCGGCGTGGGCGCGTTCTCAGCGGCCGTGGCCTGCCATCCGAACCACTCCTTGACGCAGGCCCCGCAGAATGTGTGCAGGCAGTCTAGTAGCGTCAGGGGCTTGTACAGCAGATCTGCACAGATCTATGTATGCCACATGGTCCCGTGTCAGTAGAGGGTTTGGCGGTTGTGTGTGTTGACAAATAGCTAGGTACAGGCACGTTGGTGCGGAGGTCGATGAATAGGCATAACGCTGTGGTGGGAGTTTGCCGTTGAGGTGACGATAAGGAGCGAGAGCGAGAGTGGAGGATAGAGCGGGCGGGGGGAGGGACCAGACGGGGGAGGGACCGACGGGATTGGATTGCAGGCCCGACAAACGCGTGTCGCCCTGTCGTCCCGTTCTCGGCGCTTGGACTCACCGAACAACTCAGTTCCCTTTCCAGGTCGACCGAATGCTTGGGAGATCCCATCGTGGTCCGCGCCCGTCAACCCCGTGGGCTGGGGGCAAATTCGAGCGTGGGAATGCGAGGCAAACAGTTGGGCGGCGACGAGATGGGAAGCATGGGGGACGCGAGAGAAAGGCGGTGGAAACCGAGATGGGGAAAAAGGCCCCCTCGCTGGCCTTGGGCGTCGAAATAGGTGTGCTTTTAGGTGATGTGCACCAGGCGCCAAGCATACCCAAGCAAGTAGGCTGGGCTCAATGGCAGCTGCGGAGGCGGCGGTCTGCGATTGACTGCATGCCTGGCCTCTCAGTCCCAGCCAGCGTCAGGCCTGCAGCTGCCGCTGACGGCTCGGCGCTCGGCGCGGGGAGTCCAGCTTGCGTGGTCCTCCAGAGCGTGCGTCTGCTGTCGAAGCCCGACCCTCACTCGTCCCCTCTCTTACTCCATCGACGTGTGGGGGAAGATGGGGGGCCGGGTTGGCCAGGTTTTTATTGGCCTGTAAGCGCCAACCAGAACCTGGAGGCTGGCTACTGAGGTGGGGGCGTCCACGATGGCGCCGTCTTGGTTCGGGCCGGCCTTTGGGTGGTGGAGCAGTGCCCCATGTTAAATAGTAGCCTCCCTGTGGGCGGTAAATACAGAGCAAAAGACATATTTTAAGAAGTTGACATGTATCCGGCATCAACTGGCGACATACAACAGAGGAGAGTTCGCACCATGGCTCGTGCTGGCTCCAGCTGGACCGGCCTGTGACCCAACTTGGACCGATGCTCCAGCTTACTGCCGACTCGGGTCCGCCGATCATGCCGCTGATATCAGATGGGATCCCGATGTGACTGCGGCGTCACCGGCGCTATAATCTGCACAAAGTTGCTGTTGATGCCTAAGTAAGTGCCTACCTAGTGATAGTAGTATATGAAGTAAAGAAGTAGAAATAGTATATGAAGTGAAGAAGTAGAAATAGTACACAGAAACATTTCAGTGAGTAATTCAAATTATCAAGTGAATGGGTAAGATGTCTGGTACGATGCCATAAAAATGGAAGTTACTATAGCCAAAGTACCTCGAATGGTCTTTCCCCCCCGATTTACTTACAAAGGCATGTAGACCTGCTAGGCTGATGGATACACTTGGCATCACCTGCCTACTCGTGTGTCCACTCAGCCTTCTTCTTCTCAGCAAACGCCTTCATGCCGATCTTCTGATCCTGGCTTCCAAACAAGCTGTGGAAGACCCTGCGTTCATACTCAACACCATCTCTCAACGGCAGATCCTGGCTCTTGTTGACCACCTCCTTACAGGCTTGCACGGCGACGCGCGAGTATCCCGCGATGGTTTCGGCCGTCTTGAGAGCCGCCTCCATTAGCTCCTCGTACGTGGAAAACGCCCGGGCCGCCACTCCCCACTGCGCCGCCTCGGTGCCCGTCATGGGCTTTCCTGTAAGAATCAGCTCCATGGCCCGGGACTTGCCCACGGCCCTGGTCAGGCGCTGACTCCCACCCGCGCCCGGAATGGTGCCCAGCTTGATCTCGGGCTGGCCAAAGTTGGCGCTCTCGGTGCAGTAGAGGATGTCGCACATGAGAGCCAGCTCGCAGCCACCACCCAACGCGTGGCCCGACACGGCCGCGATGATGGGCTTTTTGATCTGAGTCGTCAGGAGTGACCACGGCTCGATGAAGGACGAGGTATAGGCCTTTGAGAAGGTGAGCGGCGCCATCTCCTTGATGTCTGCCCCGGCGGCGAAGGCCTTTTGCGACCCTGTCAGGATGATGGCCGAGATGGAGTCGGATCCATTGAACTCCCGCAGCGCAGTGTTGAGCTCATCGATCAACGGCGTGCACAGGGCGTTGAGCGCCTTGGGTCTGTTCAAGGTCACTGTGTTGGTGGCATGTGTTGTGGTCAGCTTCTTAGGCGTGTGGCATGCGATGTATCCCCCGGATTTGGTGCCATGGCCCCGCGTGTGTGTCTTTAGTCATTCTCAGGAACGAGGAGGTGAACCCACCTTGGCCAACTCCCGGCTTAGGCTCCGACACTTGGATGAACTCATAACTCCTGCCGGGTGTCGCAGAGAAGCTCCTGACGACGCGAGGAAACGGCGAGGGCTGTATTCTACAGGCAAGCGGCCGGAGACCTCGGAGGGCGTTCATCTTGTGGTTGGTTTTCGGGTTTGATTTGGGGGATGGCCACAATCAAGGTATTTTGACGATTCAATCCACCACCACGGGCGGGATGCAGCAAAAAAGCAGCTAAACAGTTTCAAGATGGAAATGCGAAAGGTTGGAGCTACCTTCGCTACAGGGAGGAGGCCAGCCCGCGCAGGGGTAGCTACATCATATCATGGTGAGGAGCTTGGCTTGGAGCTCCACGCTTTGAACCGCGCATACCCGAGGGTAATCGGCCCAGCATTGTGTCATTCTTTCGTTGCGAAGTTGGAATGCGCCACATGACTCAAAAGCCACACAGTCAAGCCACAACCGCGATTGCCCCTGTCACAAACTCGACAACACATGCAACAACCATCAATCAAGACAGTGCAGCGGGCGGCCTCCAGCGTGCATGAGCCAGATTTCATTAATCAAATCCGAGCCTCCATTTTTCTTCCACAGTCGCGACACCACCTCCCCGGCGCAAGTCTCTAGCTCATCGGGCTCGTTTCGCACCGTTGACGTAGCGATCGGAAACATCCACCATCCACAGCCATCTCGCCTTTCCTCGCGGCCACCCTCCCGACCGAGCAGCGACCCACGACCGCGTCCAGCTCCTACCACAGCCTGCCTGCGCGCGAATCCTGCATCCTTATCGCGCCATTATCGCGCCCCTCAACCGGCCTCCCTTGAACCCGACCAAGATGGACTCGGCCGAGCCCGACCAGACGCCGTTCGCGGCCGTCAGTGCCCAGACATCCAAAATCACCCGAGTTCGTGTTTTCCAGGCACAACCACCCGGAGGTTGCGTTCCATCGCCCCAAGGTTGCGCATACGCTGACACGTGCATGTCGCTCCCAAATCTAGCAATACCAAGCTCTCCTTGACAAGTCTACTCCGTTTGTGCTGTACAGATGGATCGGCACCGGCGTCACCTTGTTCCTTTTCTTTATCCGCATTTTCGTTGCTCAAGGATGGTACATCGGTATGTTCAGCCCCGCCAACACGTCTCTTTTCCTGGAGCTTCACAGTATCTCGTTTCATCAAAGTTTGTGGACTAACCTTGCATGTCGTCGTTCGTAGTGGCATATGCACTGGGGATCTACCTGCTCAACCTGTTCCTTGCCTTCCTGCAGCCCAAGTTCGACCCCTCCAACGAGGCGCTGGACAATGAGATGGAGGATGGCTCGGTTGGGACGTTGCCGACCAAGCAGGACGAGGAGTTCCGCCCGTTTATCCGCCGCCTCCCCGAGTTCAAGTTCTGGCACGCCGCCACTCGCGCCATCGTCATCAGCTTCCTGTGCAGCTGGTTTGAGATCTTCAACGTCCCCGTCTTCTGGCCCGTGCTCGTCATGTACTGGTTCCTTCTATTCTTCCTTACCAGTAAGTTCTTCAAGCAGCGACTGCGCTGGACCCTCTAACTGGGACATGGGACACCGGGGCAGAGTTCGCTGACCATTGCCGCCTTGCGTATTTTCTTGTATTTAGTGCGGAAGCAGATCCAGCATATGATCAAGTACCGATACGTCCCCTTCTCTATGGGGAAGACGCGGTACGCACGCAAGAACAACTCATAGAGGGCTCATTCGGACGCGGGACTGCCAACCAGCCGGAAGGCAGCGTGTCGACACGGGCCAGGCGCGACATATCCCTAACAAGGCCGTGGGTACGGTCGTCGGTCGCATGCCCAGCTCTATCGCATCTTGGCGCCTTGTCGAGGTTCCATGTATTATGACACGGAAGCTACATCTGTGGGCAGGTAGGCTTTGCCGGACGCAGCTATCTCAAGAATCTTTTAATGCTCCGACATTTACGGCATGTTTCACTTCTAAAATGGATTTACATCTTGTCACGGCCATCCTCGACAAACTGGGGCGAGGCTGCAGCTTCTATCTGGCGGCTGGCTGGCTTATTTGGGCGGGTTCGGGAGTGGGCTATCTGCATACAGTTGGTTTGCGACAGGCTGGGCTGTTCGCTGGAGTTTGTTTTTGTTTGGCGCGTAGAAGGAGATCATTGTACGAGATATTTAGAGCAGCATACATGCGCACGATTTCATATCTTGGAAAACAGCAGGGCATATTCAATGCCTTAATTATGAGGGTCTTCGGAGCTGCTTGCAAGGTACCAAGAATGGAATGGAAGCTTGAATGTCCAGGGTTGGTAGAGGTGGCTTGTGATTGGCCGACGCGGACCCTGAGTGGGTCTGACACGGTCTGGCTTGCATGGCTGGCGACGACAAGCGGCATGGAGCTTCGAAAGTCGAGCCGAATTGATTGATGGATTTGGATTTTACGCTTTGCCATCGTTCGCTAGACCACCACAACACAACGCGCAGATCGCCACGACCCAACGCCTACACGCCGCTCCGACAGCAGCTGCCGACACACTCCCGCAGACTGGCGACCGATTGATATCGCCAGCATGTCGTCCTCGGCGTCCCGCGGCGGCGGCGAACGCATGATCCACCAGGACTTCATCGCCCGCATCCGCTTCTCCAACACACTCCCGCCGCCTCCAAACCCGCCCAAGCTACTCGAGATCCCCAACACGGGGCTCTCGAGCGGCCAGTACACGAACCCGGGCTTCGCCTCGCGTCTGGCGCGTGAGCAGCCCCTCAACATCGAGGCCGATGCCGAGCTGGGCATGCCTTTGGACCTGGTCGGAATGCCGGGCGTCTTTGACGGCGATGAGAGCTGTACGTCCTTTTCGCCCCGCGCCCCCAGCGGCAGCAGCAGAGGAGGAAGAAGAAGAAGACGCACTCGCGCCTGGCGGAATAACTGACAAAACGCCCGATGGGTGTCAACAGCAATCCAAGCACCGCCGCACAACCCAGCGGTCAGCCCGCACGACAGGCCGCTCCTCCGGCCGCTCGCGACGCTGGGCAAGCCCAAGATGAACGACACGGCCGTCTCGTTCCTGCGCAAGACGGAGTACATCGCCACCAGGCGCGGGCCCAGCGATACGGTGGCCTTCCTGCGGCCGGGGGCCAGGCGGCCGGGCATGGGGGCGCCGGTGCGGCGCGCCCAGAAGCGGGCGAGCCCCGAGATCGACGAGGACGCGGGAACGCCGGCACACGTTAAGCGCAAGATCGCGCAGTCGTTCAAGGCGGCCGCGCACGACCTTTCGGACCCGGCCGCGCACGTGCGGCACCCGCGCAGCCGGCCCGGCGCGCCGTCACGCGTCACCGTCGTCTCGGCGCTGCCGCTGCTGCCCGATCTCGACGCGTTCCCCGACAGCGGCGCCTACCTGACGATCAAGTTCCACAACCCGCCGCTGGCGGGCGTTCCCGGGGCCGACGACAGCACGTACGACACGCGGCTGCAATCCTCGGTCATGATCCCCGTCGATAGGAGCGACGAGGAGGAGAGGAGGTTCGCCGCCGCGCTCGAGGCCTGGGAGCGCGACCCCAAGAGCGGGCCCAGGCCCACCAACCCCATCGCCTACGACTTCTTCCTGCCGCAGTCGGCCGAGGTCGGCGCAAAGTTCCGCCGCCGCTTCGACGTGGCCGACCCGGACCGCGACGATGACTCGCTCTACACGACGTCGACGGGCGGGCGTGACGACAAGGGCTGCTTCCGCTTCCCGCACATGCGCCGGTTCGAGACGTCGGACGAGACGGAGCTGACGCACGATTCAAAGTACGACGTCGAGGTGATCCTGTCGCTCGCCGACGATGGCGGCGAGGGCGTCGCCGGCCCCGCGGCCCTCATGTACCCCGTCATGCAGCGCACCACGATAAGGTCGCAGCGCGGCAAGAACATCGCGAGGACCCGCGGCCTCGGCCTGCCCGACGACGACGAGCAGCAGGGCATCGAGCGCCTCGACATCACTGTCGAGGACCCGGCCCCCGAGGTGGCAGAGGTCATGGAGCAGTTCAAGACGGAGCCCCGCCCCTTCCAGGCCGACGACGACAACGACGAAGAGAAAGAAACCCGGCCCGGTGACGACGGCGAGGGGGGCACGCGGCAGTCATCCGGGCGCGCCCGTAGCCCGGCGTCAGCCAACGGTGCCGACTCGGACGAGCAGGACGCCGAGGGTGACGAGGAGTAAAAGACGAAAAAAAAAGAAAAGAAACCGTGGAAGGACCGGCTGGCTTGGCCCTGGACTAGCGGCGAGGCACAGGATAGAAATGGGCCGGCGGCATGTACTTGTATCACATAGCGCGGGTTACTGCCTCCATAATTGCTCTCTGGCGCATATCATCATCATCATCATCTCTTTAACTCGGCACAAATCGCACGGCGTTTTCTTTACGTTAGAGTCTCTGGCATCGAAATAGGAAAGTTTGTTGCCTTCAAAGTGCTAGACGGGGTGGTTGGTGGACACGGAAGCAGATGATAATCAAACAGTGC